ATTTATTTAAGCAAAGTTGGGGTTGACTGCCTTGACCTCATGACGTTCAATAATGACAGCAAAGCGCCAGACCAAGAGATGGCCACTGGTCGTATTCTTTGACATTTTGGATCTGGCATCTGTGGCTGCTAATGTCATCTTCAACTTCAAGAACAAATTTCCAGAAAATAAACTTTCTAAACTAGACAATAGAAGACTTTTTCAGCTGGATGTTGCAATGTTCTCAAGCTTCTTGGTTTCATCTTCTCATTTCACAGACTGTCTATCATATGTTATAGAAAAGATTGTGTGACATTTGGTATTTTTCTTACTCTTACACTAAATATCTTTTTTATGAGGAGGGAGGGGCGAGGGATACAAAATTTTCCCTCGCCCTCGCCCCCCCCCCCACACACACACCACAATATCGGCAGACATTATTTTTTTAGTATAATAGTATCGTCGATTAAATTGTTAGAAAAGTATGCGAAAGCATTTCTTTGGCTAAAGTTTGAAGAGCCGTGGTTGAACAGTTCTTTAAAAAAAACCATTCAAGAATTTTTAGGGGGTTCGTTGTTTGACGTGATGCCAGCAATTACAACAATAGTTATTGTAAGAAAACGACAGCCCACCCACTTTCGCTCATAATGAAATGCGTGATCACGTGCATACATAATAATAATTATAGCAGTCATAGTAGTGTAATCTGTGCATTGTAAGTTCACAGTCACAGTTGAAGATGGTTGTATTGCACCACTTAACGTACGTTGAAATGCTCTAGTTCTTTACTCTGTCCCCGTGGTTTTATGCACCCCGCATAATTTAGCAAAATCTGATCATTTTTTGCATAATTTGTAATTATTTTTCGTTATCATTCTTTGTTAAAATTAACTGAATCGCATAATTTCACATTCTTGGGCCTCATTTTGCATAATTTCAGAATTTTCCTTGCATAAAACGACGGGGACAGTTTACTATCCCTCTTCGCTTTCTGTTTGTCTATCGCTGTTATGTTCATACTACTATTGTTGTGTGAGAATGGTTGGAGGGTGTTCTGGTGTGTTTTGCTCCTTTTTCCCCTATCACTATCAGGGGCATTTATCGTTCTGCACAGTAGAATTGTAAATGGGCTGATTAATCATGTCATGCTCATAACTGTGCCTGATCTACAACAGGGAACTGCTGCTTTTT